TGTGTGACAGTTTTAAAAGTCTTCGACAAATTCAAATATGCCAGTTTCATTCATCTTCTCATCAGTTCTTATTTGCTTCCCTGCTGAAGAAAATCATCCCTCCAGGATGGCAATAGTGATTAGGTTGTTTTCTTTTAACATAGGACTTTGAATGGAAATAATAATAAAAAGTTTAATTTTGATCTCATCTGACCTATGATACTATCTTTTCTGGTTGCAGTGTATTCATCTGGCAAAAGAAAGTCAAGTTTTTCTTTTCATTTCTCTATAAACGTCAAACTTTGGAATCACATGATTAAACCATCCCGACTGAGATTGGGATCTTTGCCACTTCTCTAGAGTTTCCGTGGTCCTCTAGATTGCTTTGTTGAAAGATATTCATCATTCTTAGACAATGGATGGTGGATATTCAAGCTTTTAACCAAACTCTCATTTCAACATCTTCCCAATGTTCTTTTTGACCTTCTTGTTGTGTTTTTTATCTTCATAATGCTGTGTTTTCCCTAATGTTTGCAAGTGTGGTGGGCATTTGATCCTTTGGGAATTGAATGCCCACCACACTTTTAAGATTTTTCTCTGTAAAACTATTTAGAAAATGATGCATTTCCTTCTACTCCACATTTTTTCATTATTTTGTTAGTTTTGCAGCTTAAAAGCATTGAAGTCCAAAGTTGCAACATGACACAAGAATACCTTGGTAAGATATCATTTTGAAATGATTTTTTTGAATGTTTTTGGCATAGAGCTTCACACCAATACCAAATGAGTGTTAAATTATTCCTCTTTATCACAGTTTTATAAAGCTGTGATGATGAGTTTGACGGTGTGGATCAGATTTCTTCCTACCACGTTGAAAGGCTTCTATTCAGGATGAATTATTTGTGCACTCTGGAGTGAATGAAAGCTCAACAATTGTGCCAAAGAAAATCACTTTACCCATCATGCGGCTCTGCAAAGTGAGTCATCTCTTTTCTTTTTTCTGTCTCGCCCCTTTTGTTGGAGTTCTGTTCTTTTGTCCCTTCAGTTGCTGTCATGTTTTGTCTCCAAACCAAAAAGCAGAGACACTGCTTCTAATACCATCAAAATGACACATTGAGACTGAGGTTGCTGCTGTTTGCCCAGATCTTTGCTTTGGTTTCAGTCGCCTTATGTGAGAAAAAAAATAGCTTGATGAGTCACTGGTTGACTGTTGTATCCAACCAATGCCTGGAGGTTGTAGATCAGCATAGCTGCGTTGTGTTCTGGACACTGCCAAACCAACCGATATTGTGGGTCTTTCAGCAGCAGTAATCGATGGCAGAGTCCACAGCTACAGATGGCACAACAGCATTAATGATTTTTATCTTTATTTTCTCCCCTTGCTCTGTCCTGTTGGAGGTTCGATTTTATGATTAAGCAAATTGGATTTGATTCCACTCAGTGCCGAACGCAGCAACAGCAGCTAAATGATGCTGCTTCATCAGCACTTTAATAACCCTCTCTCCACCTGAGGAGGCCCAGATCTTTTTTGCTCCAGCCACTCAGGGCCTCTTGAGACCTGAATGAAGTCCCCCCCCCCCATCTTAACCTCTCTTGCTCATTTGGAAACATCCAGCTTTTGACTGTTGTTATTTCTTCGAGTTCTACAGCCTAAAATGTTGAGCAACATGCTGCAGTGAATGCTAAGCGAATGCTTTGCAAGCTTAACACTATGTAGGGTCGAAATTGTGAAAACCAGGAGCCAGAATGAACATTCAGGAAACGGAACTGGGACATTCATGTTTCCAGGATATGTGACACAAATGTTATTGATTGCCCTGCACAGATTAATGTAACAGCCTCCAACAAAATGTGACTATCAGATTATGAAGCTGCGACATGTGACTAAAGTGTAATTCCTGCATTCTGGGACAATTTTAATAGCATAATTCCTATTATACTAAACACAAGATGAAACAAAACGTGTTCACAAGAAGGAAGTCAGACATATTTAGCAATATTTCCTCGATGACTAAAAATTCCTTGTTTGTTGTTGCCACAAATAAAGTAAAAGTTTATCAAAGGTCAAATTTTATCAAAGGTGTTTTTAAAATCTGTGATTAATGTAAGGTATTTAAGTCATATTAGTTTCTCAATCTAAGACAGTATTGTCAAAAAACTAAGCCTAAATCTCAAGCTTTGTTTCAAAAAATAGTGCAAACTGAAGAAAAAAATAACATCAATAGCCCTTTACTTCAGTGCTGATAAGAAGTAGACACATTCTTTAGCATCATTAGCACCTAACTGTTAGCCAATTGTAACCAATTGTTGTCAGTCAAAACAACAAACAGATGTTAGTCTACTGGGTGCACCCAGTGGGACAGTGCAAGTTCAACTTCCTGTTTTTTGCTTCACAATAAAAGCCTCAAGCAGAAATATTTATCCACACGACAGGATGCAGCACCACTGAAAACCCAGGAGCAGATATTCCAAACCAATCGGCAGTGCTGTCATACCAGCACTACACCCTACGACACCATGTTTGTTATTGGCCAGAGTGAGGCACATGGCAGGTGGAGAGGAAAATGAAGCTGCCATATTATTGTTTCAAAAATGTTTTGGCTCCCATGATCACACATAAAGATGTACCCACTCTGGGACCCGGTTTCAAGCATAATCATCTTTATGTTTTCCAAAATACAGAATCTGCGGACATACAGTCTAAATGACAAAAAAAGAATGTTATCTGACATAATTTCAGTGTGGATAGGGACTTATGGTTTAGACTTTGTTTGGTTTGGAGACCAAATTGAAACATTTGTTACATTTTCTGCTCCTTCAGTTTGCTTTTACTGTGTCCAATGATCCAGATCCTCCCCTCCTCACCTGTGGGGTCACTGCATCAAGATATACTGAAGGAAATGACATAAATACTGCTGAAGAAGATGAAAGTGAATTGTAGCGATTGTAGCATTTTTCTTTTGTCATTGTCAAAAAAATACGATCCATTTCACCTCTGGTAATTTTTTGGTTGTATTTACCCATAATGCCTTGCGCTATAGTCGGCTTCCTGGTTCTGTAGCGGTCTCCAGTCCACTTGGCATTCACAAGTGAATTCAAACCATACCAGAGTTGACTTCAAAGCTTTGGCTTTTAGGTGGCCAGAGTTCATTTTTCTCATCCGCATCAGAGTTCCATTCCACATTCACATCTCTAGAAACAGACGTTCTAAACAAATGAATTGATATTTTATTAAAGCGACTTAGCATCTGTTAGCATATGGTCAGAGCATCACAAAGCAGATTGTCTCATCTCCCAGACTTTTCTTCACAATTTCTGTGAAGAAAATTGTGAAGAAATTAAGCCCCATCAGGTGTGGGGCTTAAGGACAACCACATAGATTCATTTTTGCTTTGCAGAGCATGACTGAATGACTCTTGATGGCTCCAAGTCTTATATCAAAACAGTGTTTAGTAATTTTACAGACTGACATGTCAATGATAATTGTGATGTGATTAATCGTGCTGCTTTTCATTACACTCCTTCTAATTAGTGGGTAGAGGACTTTCATCACTGTGGCTATCTAGTGAATTATTGTGATGGTAAATGCCAATAAGTGGAAGATTAATTTGCTTCAGTGTGACTTGAGTTCAGCAAACAAACTCAGCAAACTCAGAGAAAAGTCAAGTGGTCATCTGTCTGCAGGTGAAGCATTTGATGTTACCCTGTCAAAGGCACACACTCCATAAGTCCTTTCACTGGATTTTATACCCCCCTGTTGGGGGATGTACTTCCTATTCCCTTTTTAAGTGATGAAAAAATAACTGTCAGGGTGTGCCTTATTTTGCAGTTTGAAACAGACATTTGTTTCATTTGTTCAAGCTCCCTTTCATATGGCAGCAACTCTTGAGAGCCTTGAGTTCTTGATCTGGCATCCAGCTTTATTTTACTGGAGGCACCCATGATGAAATCAGAGGATCTCTGATTTCATCTCCTGTGTGTTGGTCGGATTCATTCTCCTGTACATTTACAGTCAGAAACTTAACAATCACTAGAATATTCTGGGTAATTTGTTGCTTTCTTATATTGATAAGTTATCATCGGTGTTATGTGTCATCTTGTCTTGTTAGTCGACTGTGTTGAATCAAAATAAAACGTTCCCACTTTTTTCAGTCTGAAAACACATTGCTCCAGGATTTTGAGATTGTCTTTGTAATATTTTTAAAATCAAAATGATAGATTTTTTAAACTACTTTAGAAATATTTGCAATATTTTTCCTCCAGTAAACCCCTTTCAAAATCTACATAGTCCACAAACAAAAAAAAAATGTAAGGAATTTCAGAGAAATTTGACAATTACGGAATCACGACAAAGGAAATTACTTTGTTAGTAATAGTCATTTGATGCATTGATTTTTTGCTGTTATTTTAAATTCACTTCAAGGAACAAGCACTTTTTTTTATTCAGAAAGTCTAGAACGTGAACTTGAATGACATCAAATTAAAGGGAAATTCCAAATTGGTATTGGCCTCATCAGTGCAAATCTGCCACTGTAACAAGGAGACAGTTTTTCCCTCCAAGTCACCAGATGCTGCTTTATGCATGGCTCTAAATTTTCCAGGCGTCAATGTTATTTATAAAGCTGCCTGTGACATTCACTGGCCTGTAGGAAAATATCACTTCCTCAACAAGCCCTCCAAGGCGCAGTGAATAATTTAAAATGATTTTAACTTTAATAAGTCATTACTGCCACAGGATCTCAAACATATTTCATTTTCTAGAACACATGGAGTATAAATGATCCAATCAAACCCTGAGAACTAATAACTCTGCTGTTGCTGTAGTCCTTGGCCCACACACGCAGTGAAGAGCTCTTTTTATGCACTCGTTGAATGTGCATGACGATGAGGTCTGAAAAGTTATGCAGCCAGCCTTTTGACGAGTTTGTCTGGACGAAAACACACACACCGATGCACATACATATTCATCCATCTTTTAATTTGTCTCAAATATTGTGCCTGCCTCTCCGTTTCTATTCCAGGTTGTCCAAGTGAGACGAAGCCCTCCATTGTTTTTCCACAGCAGGATTAGTGGTGTGCTGCAGGAGGCTGAAACGCCTCAGTGGGCCTGAAGTGCTGACCCCTGAAGGGCTGACCCTGAGGTGAGGCGCCCAGCAGGACGCTCCTTAAATGGTTGTTAGATCTATGTGGCTTATTATGACGTCTCCCGCTCAGCCTTTTCAGTTAACTATAGACTGGAAAAAAGATAGTTTTCTGGAAGTAATTAATCCCAATTGTTGCCGTTGTGTTGTTCAGGTGAAAACATGTCTGGTGCTTTGGATTCCTTTATGAACCTTTAAATAACGGTCATGGAGCAGTATTATGTGTTTTCCAGACACATAATGGAGTTTTATAGGACAGTCAAGTAACTATAATACCTCCAGTTGTTATATAAATCAAATATGATTTAAATGAGAAGTAAATCAACTTATTTGAGTTTCACATCATGGTCCTTCATCAAAACATACCTGGAACATGCCTTGATTCTTTCATGCACATTTCAGAACAATCAGCTCCCCCACTCAGCTCCTTTAGACTAGCCAGCAGCCATTAGCAAACATCTGGTGGAACTGCTGAGTTCATTATAGGAGCTACTTCTCAGAGCACTGCTGGTAAAAATGTTGTCAAAGGGTTAATAGAGGAGCCATGTTGGGATGACTTTCTGAAGGCAGAGTTTCAGAAAGAACAGGAGGAAGACACATTGCAGAGCTGAATGTATATGCAAAAACATACCTCCAGGTATATTAAATAACATCAGAACAAGAAGTAAAACTAAAATAAATTGCAGCTAAAGTTACTCCATTTTTGGAAAAATCAAGCTTCACTTGTGTGTTCATCAGCGGACATTTAAGCACACTGTGTGTGCGTTTTTATCCCTCCAGCCATTTGGAAGGTGTGTATCCACGGTGTATCTTAGAGCAGAGCCAAGCACCAAGCCCAGTTACCATTCTGACACGTCTCACCGAGACTGAAACGTCTCACGTTTATCTTCATGAATACATTTTCAAGCTCATTTTTGCCTCTGTGTTGTCTGTCAACTGTGTACACACACTTAATGGTGGTGGACTGTTGTTAGTGACCTGGGGGAAATACCTTATTGATTCAAGGTGGGTGGAGTACGGGGCAGATTATTGCGTTTTCTTCTTAGCTGACGCTTCTTATAAACTTATCCACAGAGGAGGGAGAAAAGATGAATTGCTAATCAACTTGAATACTTGATAATACTTGTACACACAACATAGAAACCCATGGAGATGGAGCAGACGGTGTTGTGCTCCTTGTGTTCAGTTGGTCTGCTAATCGGGACCAGGGATCCCCCGATCGCTGCCACAATAGCTGAGTTCACCATCTGTGGTTCTCTGACGTGCAGCAGCCTCGCTGAGGGAGCAGCAGAACCGTCTGGCCCAACTTTACCTCAGTCCTCACATGTCCTTACAACCCTAGATGCTTGTTAGGAAGCATCTGCAGATGCTTCCTAACAATACTCATTCTGATTTTGTCACTCTGCAAACACAAATGTTATTGTATTTTATTAGGGTCTTGTGTAATAGACTAACAGAAAGAATCCTACATTTTTAAATAGAAGGAAAATGATACAATAATACTCATAACAGAACAAATATGTTAGAAGCTTTTGTAGCTTAGGGTTTTCTTCCATAATTGCTTTGTTGGTCCATCCATCTTCCTGTCATCTCTGCTGAGGAAAGCAACCTCACAGCACCATGTTGAGGATGGTATGTCCATGCCAGATTGATTTTCAGTGTAGATATGTGCCAGATATATAATTTGTGTGTAGTTTAATTTGGTTTCCTCTGACCGGGATGCCTTCATCTACATATATATAAGCATGTGTCTAAATATTATGTCTTTGTTTTAAAAATGGCTTATATCAGTGCATCAGAGATGCACTGATATAAAATTTGGGCTAATATCCAATATATTTATTGGATATCCTATATATTTATTTTTTGATAACTGATATTGCTTATGTTGTGTTTCTATTATTCTACCCTTTCAACAGCATTAAAAAAACACTCTGCTGACATTGCATGATCACTATCACATGACCAAACAAATACGACATGACCAACCTCTTCCGACTCCAAACAAAAAACAAACGCGAACGACAACGGGATGAAAATAAACAACAGCTATTAGTATCGGGCCGATAACAATAAATAAAAAAAATGAGCAGCAAGAGGACATTGGTTGATTTTTAGGCTTTTGCTGAAATAGATAAACACAGGGGATAAGATCATCTTCACGTTAGCATCGGCTGATCACAGATCTGACAAAATAAAGGAAATCAAAGCTGATAAATGGACTGGATGATGAATCTGTGTGATGCTGTGAGCCAGCTGCACAATGTCTAAGGAGGCCCACAAATAAGGATGACGCAAACTGGTGTGACTTGTGCGTCACAAAAAAAAAAAAAAAAAAAAAAAAAATTGTTGCAGTTTTGCAAAATACAGTAATTTTGATATGGTTCATTTTTTTTAATCAAAAGATTTTTTCAATTTGAAGTGTTTCCATTACACCAATTTATATTCGTAATTTCTATTTTATGGTCAATAGAAATGCAGCTAATGATGTAAAAGTAGAATAATGTGACATGACAATTCAGAAAACTATCAGACATGCATTTGATGTGTAAAAGTGACATAATTCAGATTTTTGAGGAGTGTAAAGATTGGAAGCCGGACGGGATGGGTAGGTCCCGTAAAAGCAGGTTGACAAAGGTTGACCTGCCTGCCTAGCAGCGTAATTGTTGTCTGGTCTACAGATACTCCTACCTGAGCTGGAGAAGTTCTCTTTTTGCCCAGCTGATTAGTTTAGGTTTTTGTAGTAGCATAAGGATTATGGGTTGATGTGAAGCTTTGCACGTTGCTTGTAACCTAATCCTGCATGTGACATAACATAATGTTTTGGAGTGATGTGGGACTTCCTGTTCAGATTAAACAGCTTCAGATAGTCACTGCTGCAGAATGCTGCAACCTTGTGAAACTTTTAAAACCTCCGTGATAAGAATAAAGATAGGGGCACTTGTTGCCATGGTAACTACAAGTAAATCCACATAGAAAACCACAGTGGTTTTCATATTGATTCAGAATACAGAATGAAGACCTTGGTATCAGTCAAAAGCAGGTTGCCCAGCTTCTATCTTCCCAGTGCCAGGTTAGAGGCTTATTGGCCGTTTTTTTTTGACAGACTGACTAACAGACGAGTTTTTCAGTGAAATGGGCTGCGAGCCTGAAGTTCAATTAAAAGCCCCGCTCTGCATGAGAGCAGCATATTTGCCAAACGGGGAGAAAAGTGTAAATCAGTCTTCATGCTTCCTCAGCAACCTGCTTGTCCTTGGGGAGTATTGATGGCTCTGCCTTGACTCATTTTTTTTTTTAAATCACCCATCAAAGCTGCTACATTTATCTTATCCTGACTGGTTGAGGGGGATTTTTATGCGGCATATGAGTGTTTTGGAAACACATGGCTTCATTTTAACATGCTAGCAAGGCTGAAAGCTGCACATGAAAACCACCTGCCTTTTTTCTTCTTTGTGTTCCAAACACCAGGAAAGCAACGTGGCTTTAGCATAGAGTATGCTTTTGTTTTCTCATTCAGCTTTTTCTTGCTTAACAGACTCAGCAGGTCAACAGAGCATTAGTCTAATTCCATTCTCACAATACCACTGCAGACTTTCATTTTGTAGTGGTCAGATAAGGTTGTGTGAATCCTGCTGAAGGAATATAAGAGACATGTTATGAATTAAGACTCTTGTGGGGAACCGTGAACTTCCTGATATTATATTGTTACCAAAAGGGATTTTGTCCAAAAAAGAAAAAAAAAAAACTCTCTTTTTTAACAAGAGGATTTAGACAAAAACAAACACTATTGGCAAAAAATAACCATTACTTAAGGAATGTGACAATATTGATTAGTGAAATAGATCTGAAAGTTGCTGAGTGTCAAAAAGAATCTTTGTTGCCATTCTGCTAATGTTGAAAAGTGTGCCAGTTTAACGATATGAAGCTCACTTGAAATTTGGCTGCGCTGTAAACAACTGTCCTCCACTGAGAAGAGAGAAGTGCCAAATGTGATAGCTGTTGATGTTATCCATACATTTGGAAGTGTATAGATAACATCCGATATGGATGGAGCAGCTTTCTTGATTTCCTTTCTTACTTTGCTAAAACTACAGGTATACTCCAATTCTAAAAAGAGCATAAAATTGGTGTCATTGTTCACGACTTCTTCTGTTCACTGATTGACCCAGTAGAAATTGACTATAATAAGGGGAGTGTTGCTGGAAGTAGGAACTTTTTTCAAGCATAATTGCACAGGAAGGCAATGGAAAGGCGAGTGTTTCCAACAAGCAAATTTATTTTTGGATTTCAAATTTGCACAATTTTAAGGTCAATGGAAATACTTTTAGTACGAGGTATGATAAATATTCCCAAATGCAGTGAAAACAGAAACTCGTCCTTCACAGGATGTTGCTGGTTGGTTCTTGGTGTTAATAAATGTTTGCCTTCTCACCTGTGTTTGTCATGTCCGGATGGTTTAATCAGCTGGGCTTAGAGTGTGAATGAGCCACGGCGGCCGACAGAAAGGGGAAGAGGCTTTTCCCGGGGCAGTACCCGGGACAATGTCAGGTTTGTCTGGCCCGAGTGCACCAACACTAAGCGTCTCGGAACTGGCAGCCTGCCTCGGGACCTACCCATCCCGTCCGGCTTCCAGGGCCGTTCAACCCCCTAAGCAAAGTTCATAAGGCTTCCTTCTGTTTGTGCAGCTATAAAGGAGTCTCCATCCTGTTGTAGCTCAAAGACGAGCTTATGGGCTCGCAGATTCTGGCTCTGGCTGTGCAGAGGAGTGAGAGTGTTCTCAGTTACTGACTCTGGCTGACTGCTTTCATTATAAGAAGATATCCCCCCTCCTCAACACCCTAGCCATTTTCATACCACCTCATTAGATCCAGCTCTGGGCCTTCACTAACAACACTTGATGTCTTCTCAATTTATTCACCTCAATCTCCAGGTTAATCAGCATCCATCCATCCATCGTTCATCCATCATTCATCCAACATCCATCCAATATATTTGTTCGC